ATCGTAACTAAATGTTAAGATAAGTCTCTATGGAGCTGAAATCTTCGATTTGATAGAAAAAGTTAAAGTGTTTAATTTTGTCAAATTTGAAGACGAATTGTATATTTACAAGAAGATAGTGGGAGTATTGTCGTGTTCCCAATATTATAGAAAACGATATCCCTATGTTTCAATCGTTGAAATAATGGTTGTTAAAGGATTTATTCATAAACGATATTGGATAAGCAAACTTGATCTATAGAGGTAGATCTAGAAGATTGCTTAACTCATCCCAATTTACATAGATGAAATCTTGAGAAGATTTTATATGGAGAAACTGGTTTACTCTTAAACGATATGTTGGAAAGGTTCCAAACGTAAAGCAACCGTTGATTCAATAGTAGAAACCTAATACATGGATACTTCAGAAGTAGCAAAGAATTGCAATATGGATCATGATGTTCATAAATGAACTTGGAGTAGTTCCTGATATTGTTGATAACATACAATAGTATTGTGATAACAATAGAGCCATTATGAAAGCAAAGGAACTAAGGTCTCATCAATGATCCAAACGTGTATTAAGGCGGTCTAATCTCATTAGAGAGATAATACATAGAAATGACGCAAAGAGAAGAGCAAAATTTCACATTTAATAATATTGCAGATCCACTGACAAAGAGTTGTCGTAGTATAAACATGATCGTCATGTAGACTTATGATATTTGATACATAAGTGATTGGATCTAGTACAAGTGGGAGTTTGTAAGTATTATGCTCTAGGTCGAATCAACTTTGAACATAAATACTTTTATATATAATTAATGCAATTAAATGGTAGATCTATTATTTAATTAATAGACAATTAAATAAATAATAGAGTTCGTAGATTCAAATATTTGTAATTTGTTAATCACAAGGAGTTGTGATTGTGAAATACAAATTACATCTGATTGAATCTTAAATTATCCGTGGTGGTAAGTAATAACTAGATACGGATATCGTTATTACGGATAGACCATCACGTGTGGCATTTCTTACTTGTGAAGTAAGTAGCTGATCTCATAAGTTAAAGTATGGTGACACTTAAATGAACACGTGGATATTTTGTTATAGAACAAAACATTGGAGACCCGTCGAGAGATTCCACATGGATAACTATCTGAGTGTCAGTGGTTAATCTCTAACGTTCGGTAGTGGAATTGGTCCTTTAACTTGAGGTCGTCGTGGTACCTTATATGAGGACAGTCATACTTTGGCGGTGTTGGATGTTGCTCTGAAAAGGGCCGCTAATACGACATTGTTCGGGTACGTCAAGAATCGTATGAAGGTTGTGATTGATCAATAAAGGATTCGTCACTCTTAGATAGTAGGAGATTATGATATGCGTTTCATTCAATTAAGTCGATGATGAAATCCTTGGCCAATGTGTACTCATAAGTCGAAAAGGAGTTTTCGACTTATATTGACTTAATAGTGGAGTGAAAGATATGATCGATGATTGAGATTGACACAATTTCATATCTCGTAATTGATCAAATCATATTGACGAAGGGATTATAGTTTCACGGTAAACGAACGAATTTGGTTTTGTCATACCACGTGACATTTCCCGTCACATGTATTACCCTGACACATTGCTAGATATCAATCAGGGACGGCGAGTGTGAATTGACGATAAATTAAAAGGGTATTTTAATTTATAAATTTTGATTAGATCAAAATAATATTTCACGTCGTTAAGCATCGTGGTCGGAAACCTAATGGGTCGCACACAAAAGAAAATTGGAAGATTGCAAATTGCCAATTGGTTAATTTAACAATCGTTGGATAAATTAATTAATTGGATTTGTTATTTATATTCCCGAATTAATTAATTAAATTAATTAATTCACGGGTCGAGTTTAATTAATTGGATTAATTAAATAGTGGACCGGATCGGGTCGAGCCCGTTTGAGTTTATATAAATACATAGTTAGGGTTTGAGGTCTATATGGTTTTCATTATTCTTGCTGGCACAAGAGATAAAATCTTGGTAGCTGCAATCTTATTCTCTGTGTGGATTACCGTTGGAGGCTGGACAAATGGACAGCTGTGGATGACGAATCAAGATTGCTGGAACGAAAAGAATAGCAAAGAAATTTGCAAATCTGAAAAAAATACAATCTTATCACAATTTCTATCTAAACACAAAGGCGATTTTTGGTGGGAATCGAAAATTATTTTAAATTTCGCTGTGCATGTATAAGTAGATTCCCAACAGTAAACTTGTTCGAGTAATGTCTAATACCAATTATAAACTCTGAACGAGGGTTAGGCTTGGTCCAAATATTATTTTTATTAGTCAATGAGCTCAGCACTATCAATTTGGAACTAAGTAGCCTAGAAAGTCATTTGTTGCAACAAGTAGTAGGTGTATTAACCCTGAAGGAGCTTCCCAAACATGCTAGGAAGGTGGGACCGACCTCAAATTTAGGAACTTACAATTGGGTGTCTGGCACATAAAGACATTGACAACCATTAAGAATCTAATAAGATATCCAAAACGATGTAACATTTATTAGAAACATGAAGTAGTTTGACAAGAAAGCCATAAATCTAGTGGATAACAAATTGATTGACGTAACCGATCTCTCGATGTACCATACATATTTTAAAACATTAATGATCCAGTCTTATTTAAGCACTTATTTTGGATTACAATTATTCTATTCTATCTTTCAATCTCAGAATACTATTACAAGGTCAAACACGTCTTAAGAAAGAACACGTCTTAGATTGGACTACACGTCTTATAGCGTGTTTGATATTGTTTTTAAGTGCTTATCATTTGTGTGGATAATAATTGGATCCTACAAAACTTATAAATAAAATGTATATTTGACCTGCTCAAAAATCAAAATATAATTTAAGGTTTGCCAAACAAGCATTTAAGTGGGCTGGTCAAACATTGTACTCCAAAGTGGAGTTAATTAAATCACTGCTCACTAACATTTAGATTAGGTCATTATCCGTTAACTCAAAAATAAAATATAATTGATTGCTCATTCACTTTTGTATCAAGTTACTCATCTATCACTCCATCCATCCACTTGGAGAAAAAATTACACATGGCGAATGAAAATTCTACGTGGCCACTAAAGGTGTTAAAAATTGACACATGGGCAAAACACATTCCAATAACGCGTTTTCTCTTAAAAATTGGAAGAATCGTTCTCCACCATCACCTCCACCTCCACCACCTTATCACAATATAGCGTTGAATAAGAAACCTCTTATCTGTATCAGTGCCAAAACCAGCAATCCCACCTTCCAAAATAGAGATTTGTTACTTTCCATCAATAATAATCACTCCAATTTTACTTAGCAAAACTTGACTTTCCTTCACATAATGCCTTCACATTTTCTGATTTCCTATAAAGAAATATAAATTTTTCTTAAAGAAGCTCAAAATTCCAGTTTTGAGCTCAATGACAGCACAAACTTGAGATAAAAAAATAAAATAAAAAAAATGTAGAGCCCAGATGACAAATTTGCAATCTTGCACAATTACAAAGAGACTTGCACTAAGTGGACCGGCGAAAACCAAACAAAATAAAGGGAAATTTCTTGAGAAAGAACAAACAACTGGGCCTATGGGAGAAGCTTCAGCAAACCAAAGGCGTGAGAAGCTTTAGCCATAAAAGGCCGAAGATGCCCATGGAAGAAGCTTCAGCCATAAAAGCAAATTGTGGAATCAAATCCATCACAAATAACCAATCTGACACCCAATCTCAACTCATACAACTTCAATCTACGCATTATAATTGTTGCATAACATTCGCCCGTGGATGAAGCCATTTATTACAATCCTCAAGCATGGATGCAGAGGCGGATCTACCCACGAAAAGCAGTTTCAATTTGAGGGCGATTTCAACTTATTTCGATTCCTTTTTTGCTTGGGAAGATTGGTTTGGAAAGAGAGATTGTTTCTTGATTTTGATAGATATTAACTATTTTGTTGGTAGAAAAAATGGGTTCACAGTTAAATCTCTGTAAAGAATTGGGAATGAACATGAGTTCAATTGAATGAAGGGGAAAACGTGAGTTCAATGTCCAAACGTCAAAAATTAATGGGTTAGTTTACAAGTAAGATTTTCATCTGCGTGTAATTTTTTTGTCCACATAGATGAATGGAAACAATCGAGTAATGGGTGGGTAACTTTTTTGTAAAAATGAGTGAGTAGTCGGTAACTTTTTTTTTGTTGACAAGGGAACTCGCAGTCGCTATTCGAAGGTGCGCACTAGGTAAACCCCGCCTTGTGATCCTAGTCGGCAAATGACCACAAGGAGGTAAATCAGCCTAGATTACCCATAGCTGATCGGCTCAAAACAAGAAGGCCAATAGGCAGCTCCAACGGAAATCGAACTGGCAACCTCACGATTGCTGGTCCAACTGCCCGACCAACTTGGCTGGGGTTGCCCCCTAAGTAGTCGGTAACTTTTTATTTTAGGGTGAGAGGATAGAACCAAAGCTAAATGTGAGCAGGGATTTAGCTCTCGTTTGGCCCCCATTATTTTGAATTATAATGGGTAGAATAGTATTTTTTTGGAGAATGAATAGTTAAAAAAAAAGAAATATTTTAAATTTACATGTAATATTATTTTGTGAAAGATTGTGTAATTGAAAATAGGGGGAAAAAAATTTAGTTTGGGGGGCGGGGAGCCTTAATTAACTCCTCCAAAGCGTCCAAACAAGCGATAGAAGAACAGTACTACAAACTCGGGGCATAATTTAATGGTACAAAGGATATGAGTGAAGTAGTTTGAACCTTGATGATAATCGCAGTGTGAAAATTCGATTCTTTAAATATAAAATTGGACTCTTTGTGGTACCAATATACGAACGAGTTGTTGTTTACTCACTTATCATATCTTGTGATTTACGAGAGGCAAGGCGACAGAGGGCCTCCGGTTGGGTTGAACCACATTTTTATTTTATTTTATTATTATTATTATTTTTTGGCCTTTCTGAAGTATAGTACTGCGGTATTTGTGGCTACTGTAGACAGAGAATCAGAATCTCATCCATTAGTCCAATGGGATCCACCGCAAATCCTCCGTCTGCGATTCACAACGTCTTCGTGTACGGCAGCCTCCTAGCTGACGACGTCGTTCAAGTCCTCTTGAATCGCATCCCTGCCTCTTCCCCTGCCACTCTTCCCAACTAGTCTGTCCCTCTTTCTCACTCAATTCAATTGTTCAATAATTCCCTTTTTTTTTTCACACATTTAGTAGAGATAATTGCGGAGGTTGACAATTGGATTTTTTTTTTTGTTAGCCATAGATTTAGCATCCGAGGACGTGTTTACCCTGCAATTTTACCCATTGAAAATAACAAAGTTACTGGGAAGGTTTGTTCTACATTACAACTTTTTTTTCGTATTTGATCTATTTTTAAAAATTGAAATATATACACTCACGTAAAAACATAAATATGTGTATGCATTCAAGCCCATATGTTGAAAACTAGGAAGGTAGAGGTTTTGAAGTTGCCTACTGTTTACCAAAAAATAAAAAAAATGTGTACTTATAAACCATTTGCTAAAATATTTTCAGCTTGCACGTGAATAAGCACGTTAAAAGATTGAGTAAAGAAATTTGATCCTTCTATACTGCCCGAAGCTTTTAGACGAGTTAATTCAACAATAGATGGATTGCTTTCTGTGTGAGGATTGCCACACGCTCCTGGGTGTTTCTCTCGTGTGATTGTATGGGTGCTTGTGTGAGTGGTAATTACATGGGATACATATAACATGGTCAAAGTCGAAATCCTCTTGATTATCAATAATTATAGTCCTAAAAATGTTATCATCATTTGGAAATCATCTTATAAAATTGAGAATTCCATCTTTTTTTGTGGCTTTTATCCAAGAATATGTAGCTTATTTGATTGTTTAACCTTTTGTTATTATTTATTTTCAGGTACTCTTAGGCATCACTCCTCTGGAGCTACATATTCTGGATGAATTTGAGGATGCTGAGTATGAAAGGAGGACTGTCGATGTGTTCTTAATGGTTTGTATATTTGGCTTGTCTCTTTTGTTCTGGTAGCACATCAGGGACCATTTAGTTGGATCTTGACATAAAAAAACTATAGCTGCAAAGGAACTTATGGTTGAAAAATTGCATGCTTAAATATCAAATGTTCTTTTATCTGTACACCTTGTATTATTATTATTCACACGTGCGCATGCATATCTATTGTGTTTTTGGTAAAAAAAATGAGCAGGTATAGTTAGTGATGTAGAATCAATTGAGAAGAAGAAGCTGAATAACAGAATCACAGCAAGGAGAAGAAGAGAGGAGGAAGAGAGGGAGCACGTTAGCGGAGAAAGAGGGAGAAGAGGGAAAGAGGGAAGACATGGGTGAGAGAGTGGGTAACAAGCCAAATGTGATTAAATTCATTCATCAACTGTCTTTGGAAGTTCCAATTACAACTATATAAATAACAAAACATAAACCTAATAGTTAATGGGCTTGGGCAACACCCATATATAAGCCTAATAAAATATAAAGCATAAATAAATGGCCTAAACAAAAAGCCCAACATAGGATGTCCGCATCAATTAGCCCTCAGCTTTTGATACCTTACTAAGAATCCGAATATAATTATTAGTTGTCTTGAATTTTGCAGGATAGTTCTGAGAAGTTGCAGGCCCACACTTATGTTTGGGAGAACAAGACCGATCCAAACTTATATGGCGAGTGGAATTTTGAGGTAAGCTTTCTGCTGTTTCGTAGAACACCAATAATTACTGGTAAATATTTTCCTGCGATACAATAATTGGAAGTTTCTCTAGAACCTAGAAACCACTGTATGATTTTGTGCTCAATGATATTCTTCTTTTTGACAAAAAGCTTCAGCAAAAAACTAATCCTTATTCTCAATGGCTATAACGATCATTTTCGTCACTTCATTTGTTTAATTGCTGTAGTAACCAAGCCAATCAATATTCATCATTTCATATAATGTAGCTTCTCTCATGGCTGTGTACATAGCAGCATGAATCTTGCAAGTTTAGGAAGGATAGAAGGATCACTTCTGATTAAGTGGGAGAGTGTGAATATTCATAATTTCATATAATGTAGATCCTCTCATGGCTGTGTACATAGCAGCATGAATCTTGCAAGTTTAGGAAGGATAGAAAGATTACTGCTGATTAAGTGGGAGAATGTGAGGTCATATGAATCAGGGAAGCTTTGAAGAGTGTAGAGCATCCTCTTTTAGATTATCTTATTTATAGAGTGACCTGGCCGTGTAAAATTTGGTAGAATTGAATCTTCCAACGAATTTGTAAGTTGACAACCACATTTCTATCTGACTCTTTCCACTTGTTGTCAATAATATCGGGAACTGGAAGTTTTATTCCACTTGCTGCTAAGCAATTGTCATTTCTCAAATCTCAAAATAGCCATCATTTTTGGTTTCCACATGGAAAAATTGTTCAGGTTCAACTTCTCGATCTTGAACTTTGCTGCCACTGTTTTTATCATGAACTGCCTTCTTTTCTAGGATTAGCTTCCCCCATTGCACATGAACAATATTTGTATATGTGAAATATATTCTGAAAATGCAAGGCTATGATATCTGAAACAAAAATGTGGGAAGGAAAATTGTTACTTTTCTTTAATAATACACAGCAATATATAGTAATTTACAAGAGGAAAAATAGGAAACTAAATCAGCCTAGAATCTGGGGGGAATATTCTCCAAATCGCTATGATTAAGGGATAGGCAGATAATTGAATCCCTTCAATTAAGGGATTTCAAAAACAAATTATTTTCCTAATCTATTTACTGCCTTTTTTTCACTTGACACCCCCCCCCACCCCCCCAAGCTGAGGAATAGATGTCTTCCATTCCTAGCTTGAATACAAGATCATGAAAATGAGAACTATTAAGCCCTTTGGTTAGAACATCAGCTAATTGTCGTCCTGAAGGAACATAGGACATACACACCAATCCTTTCTCCAATTTTTCTTTAATAAAGTGCCTATCAATTTCAATATGCTTTGTCCTATTGTGTTGTACAGGATTATGAGCGATATTGATAGCTAACTTGTTCTTCCGATTTGATTTTCAAATCATCTAGGATGATCTTTAGCCAATGTAGTTCGCACAATCCTTGAGCAATAGCCCTGAATTCTGACTCTGCAAATGATCTTGCCACCACATTCTGTTTCTTGCTTCTCCATGTTACTAGATTACCTCCAAGAAGAGTGCAATAACCTGTAGTCGATCTCCTATCTACTAGGAAACCTGCATAGTCGGCGTCGGTATAAGCTTCCAAAATTAGATTATTGTTCCTTTTGAACAAAATTCCTTTCCCCGGGTTGCCTTTTAAGTATTGTAGTACCCTATATGCCGCTTGAAGATGAGGTTCCCTAGGATCGTGCATGAATTGACTGATCACGCTCATAGAGTAGGCTATATCTAGCCGAGTGTGAGCAAGGTATATTAGTCCACCAACCAACCTTTGGTACATTCGTTTATCAACAGCTAGTTCCTTTTTAGCTTCTCCCAATTTATGATTTGGATCCATTGGTTCAGACACTGGTTTACACCCAATCTTCCTGGCTTCTGTCAACAAATCAATCACACACTTTTGTTGAGATATCAAGATTCCTTGTGTAGAGTATGTCACTTCAATGCCAAGGAAGTACTTTAATTTTCCCAATTCCTTTATTTCAAATTCTTTTTCTAGTCTTTCCTTCAATTCGTGTTTTTCTCTTTCATCATTTCCAATCACTATGATGTCGTCCACATAGACTAAAAGTGCACTTACTCCCCATGTAGACAAATGCTTGATGAACAGAGTGTGGTCACCTTGACTTTGTTTATATCCTGATTCCTTCATAACCCTTACAAATCTTCCAAACATGCTCTAGGAGATTGTTTTAACCCATAAAGAGACTTCCTAAGCTTGCATACCTTGCTAACTGGGTCCTCAAATCCCGGTGGAATGTTCATGAAGATTTCTTTATCGAGATCACCATGGAGAAATGCATTCTTAATATCATACTGAAAGAGTTCCCAGTTATAGTGAGCAGCCAATGATAATAAAATTCTTACTATATTCATTTTTGCAACTGGTGCAAAAGTCTCCTGATAATCAATCTCATACGTCTGAGTGTACCCTTTAGCCACCAATCACGCATTATATGTTTCAAGGAAATCATCAGCTTTGTATTTCAATGTGAAAACTCATTTGCAATCAACAATGTTTTTTCCTTTCGGTTTATCAACAATCTCCCATGTTCTATTACTTTCTAACGCATTCATTTCCTCTCTCATAGCGTCCCTCTATTCCCTTTTTAACAATGCCTCAGAAACAATGTTAGGAATAGCAATGGTGTTTAAACTCACAATGAACCTTTTGTGGGCCGGTGACAGGTTTATAAGTGAAACATAATGAGATAGTGGGTAGAGTGGTCGTTTAGCGCATTCTCTGATACCTTTTCTAACAACAACAGGGAGATCCAGGTCATCTATGGAATTAATTGATGTTTCAACATTTTGTGTGTGTTAAGGTAGGTTAGATCTTACTGTGGTTTCATTGTCAAAGTCCGAGTTGAATTCTTGGACCTATGTCAGTTCTGGGAGGGCCTTTCTCCTTGAATACACCTGAGCAATACTTGGAAGATCATGATTGACACTGGTTGGGATAGGAGGAGACTTGAGTTCAGTGATAGGATTGGGTGACTCGTATGTAGTTTGTTCGGTTTCGACACGGACTAGAGCATCTGAGACTTGAGGTAAGTCAATATGTTTAATTGGTTCGAAGGACTCACAAGTACTTGCTTCCATCATTGATATCTCCCCCCTGACGGGAGGACTTGGAAAAAAACGGTGTTTCTTCAGTAAAGGTAACATCTGTAGAAATGTAAAATTTTCTAGATGAGGATTGTAACACCTGTACCCCTTTCGAGTGAATGAGTAACTAAGGAAGACACATTTGATTGCTTGAGGGTCTAGTTTGCCTCTATGTTGGTTGTGGACATAAACAAAGGCATTGCACCCAAATACTCTAGGTGTGAGTCCATTAGAGGTTCGGCAATGGGGATAAATTATTAAGTACCTCCATGGGGCTTTTGTTATCTAACACCGTCGAAGGAAGCCTATTTATGACATACGTGGCAGTAAGAACAGCCTCCCTAGTAGGATTTAGGAACATTTCCTTGAAAGAGTAAAGCTCGGGTAGTATTGAGTAAATGTCTATTTTTCCTTTCAGCTTCCCCATTTTGTTGGGGTGTGTTGACACATGAAGAATCATGGATAATACCCTGTGTTTGAAAGTAATGTGCTAGTCTGGTTGAAGTAGTCTCGAGCATTATCTGTCTTAAACCTTATTATTTTTACCCCGAATTGATTTTGAATCATTGAGTGGAATGTAGGTATAACAGGGTTGACATCAGATTTTTGTTTAAGGAGGAAGAGCCATGTAACCCGAGTACAATCATCAATTAAGGTTGTGAACCAACGAGCCCCATAGACATCAGCTACAGGAAAAGGACCCCATAAATCACTATGAATCAAATGAAAAGGATGAGAACTTCTTTTATTGCTGATAAGAAAAGATACACAAGTGTGTTTTGCTAATTCATAAATATCACAATGAAACTTAAAGATATCTAATCCTTGGAACAACTGAGGAAACATGATTTTTAAAATTTTAAATGATGGATGACCTAGACGTAAGTGATACAACCAAATGGTATCTTTATTTTCGAATCTTAGAAAAGATGAAAGCAAAGACAAATAACTCCTTTCCTTCTAAAGTGTTTCGAGGTGATAGAGGCCACTCCTTTCCTTAGCAAGTCCAATCCTTCTCCCCGTTCCTTGATCCTGAAAAACACAATAAGGAGAAAAGAACAAGGTTAGGTGTGATATGTATATCTCCAAACCCTGCAACAGTAGCTAGAGAGCCATTAGCAGCTATAATTTTTCTATTACTTGGACATGGGGTCTAGTTATGGAAGAATTGAGGAGTGGGTGTCACATGGTCTGTGGCAGTTGAGTCAATGATCCAAGAATTGTCATAACACTTGTTTGAGGCATTGTTGCAAAAAGAAAATGAAAGGTTACCTGAAAGGGCTAAAGAGCAGGTTCCAGAAGGCTTTTCAAGAGACTCCAATAAGCTTTTTAGCCGTTCAATTTCTTCACTGTTAAATCCTCTGGCTTTGAGATTTTCCTCTGTTTTGGGCTGCTTCACCGTGCTTGAGGTCTTTGCTGCCTCTCATGGGTCCCCCATTCTCGATTTGGAGGTTTACCATTTAGCTTCCAACATTTATCCCTTTCATGTCTCGGTTTATTGCAATAGGTGCAACAGAGCTCGTCCTTGTTTTCCTTTACCCGGGTATTTGAGCAGATCATTCCTTCTTTTCTCCTGATGGTTTGCCACCAGTGCTGACCCACTTGCGGTGTGTGGTTCAAGCATAACTCTTCTCCGACTTTCTTCTGCTCGAATTAATGAGATAGTTTCTTCTAGAGTTGGCGTGTCTGACTTTCCAAGGATTTGAACTCTAGCCCGATCAAATTTAGGATTCAATATTGCCAAAAAATCATAACCTCGATCTTTTTCAATGAAGTTCTTCAAGGTGACAGCATCTTCGGGACATTTCATTTCAAAAACTCGGTAATGATCAAGTTCTTGCCACAGATTTTGCAATATGTTTGCATACTCCGTGACAGATTTGTCTCCTTGTTTTGTGGCTGCG